AGAGCAATGCCCTATAAATCCAGAAGGGGTATAGCCAACACCGCAAACAAGCAACCTGATAGTTTTAGCATGTATTTCCAAGCAGCTGAATGTTCTCTCACCACAATTACAGCTCCTAGAGAAGATCCTCCAGATCTTCTTCAGAGCTAAACGAATGATAGAAACAAACCTGGAGGCTTTAACTTCCATATAGGAAGGGCAATTCCATTAAACATTCAAGTGAGCACGGGGCTGGAGAGTTGTCTTGTGAAGCAGCACGGAAAAGGATGGGATGCATCATTTGGGAAAGGAGAAAACTGAGGGATGTGATGAAGTTTACAGAATCCCCAAGGTGGTGAATTAGATGAAGATGAAATCAAATCCCAATGACAATAACTAGAGGCAGTCAGTGGAGCTGGTAGGATATCACTCCACAACAGAGAAAGAGAGAGATTTCTTCATGCATCGAGGAATTCACTCAGGAGCTTACTGCCACAGGAGGCTGAGGAAGGAGATGCTGTCAGCATGGTCAGAAAGGGATTAGACCAGCTAGTGGACATAAGGGAATATCAGAGAGAACAAGCAGGAATGTGCCTTCTACTGTTCCAAGCCCAGAGACTATGGATGCTAAGGAATTAGGTGCTTAGGTTGCAGAATGCTCACCCAAAACAGCATCTCCTAGATGCAGGCTAGACAAGCTGTAGCTCTGATCCCGCAAGGCATCTCTTATATCCCTACTCCCTCTCCTGTTCCAGTTTTCTCCTACAGGATTTTCCCACCAGTTAGCACTCAGCTACTGGGGTGTCTCAGCAATGGGACTGAGGGATGTACCCACGAGGATCACCTCCAGTCTCACCACGGGGAGGGCAAGCTCTTATTGATAGGAAGCACAGTGCATGCTGTGTCCGTGTCCAGTCACTGAGACCATCCACATGCAGCTACAAACACCTTGGCTGCATGGGTCCAATGGGGACTTGATGGTGCCACACAAATCCTGTACACCCATCAGCAGAGGTTGTGTACCACGCAGAGACCCATGCAGGCCATTCAGGTTTGGTTCCTTCTCCTCTCTTTGCAGATAACCCGTCTTCCTTTCCCAATGTGTTTCCCCTAAATTATTGAGGCTGCTTTACAAGTGAATCCCACCTGAACAGGAGGCATGGTGTGAGGTTCAGGCAGAGCTAGGTCATCATAACAATGAACCATCTTCCCAGCAGACTAATATGGATCTTACCTCAAGTGCCCCATTACAAGAAAGTGCTAATTAAAGATACACAGGAAGCAACTAGGGATGGGTAAACCGGGTTGGGCTGGGTTAGGAAGAAAGCTCCATCTCCATTTCTCAGCTCCAAGCATATCCCAAGTTCCACAGAGAAATCATTTGGAAGATCTTAGTCCTACCCAGCACCCAGAAACTAGTGCATAAGGGTACAGCTGTTTCTTCACATCTGTATCAGCATCCAGGACTTCTCACAGCCTTGGTAACACGCTTGGATAAACCTTGTCTGCTCCAAGCCCTGTCCAACCATGTCAGCATGTGATGAAGCTGGACTATCTCTGTCTTGCCAACATGGGTCATTTAAAGTTTTCTTAGCTGAAAATTCATATTTCTGACTTCAGCAAGACCAACAGCTTGAGTTTCAGTTCACATATTCACAGAAGAGTTGCCAGCCTGCATTTTAAGTCTATGGGATGGAGAATTCACCACGTCTCTGGGTTCTTTGTTGCAATGATCAGTTCTTCCCACTGTTAAAAATAGTGACTTTATCTCAACCCCAACAACCACCAGCTTTGCTCTCCAATCCCTCTTTCTTTTTCTGTCTTTGTCTGCCCTCTTAAAGAGCCCTTTGCACTCAAACTATTCCCCCACATCAGTTCTCACAGACCATGATTAAATCACCTCTTAAAAACTAGATAAACTAAACAGATCATGTTCCATTCGTCTCTCACTGAGAATGATTTCTAGCCCTGGGATAATTTTCTAGTTCTTTCCTGAGTCCTGTCCAAGTTTTCAGTGGCACTCCCAAGCATAAGCCCTAGGCCTGAATGTGCCATTTTGGTGGTGATGTCACTAAAATCACAGGCAGGGGGAACGCCACCTCTGTGATATTCCCTGCTCGTGCGTATCAAGATCACATTCAGCCTTGCAGCAGCAGTGGGAGTTTCTGTTCTCTGCGTTTCAGACTCTCTCCAGAGTCCCTGCTTGCCCTGGTCCATCGAGGCAGTTGCACATCTGATACCAAGCAGTCATTAAAGGTTGACTGAAATGTCCCTGGTTTTCTATGTTCCGGTGCCTATGAACTGCTCATCCCTCCAGCTTGATTTCTTCCTGTGCCACCAAGTATTTGTCTGTGTTTTTCTTTAGATAAGATTTTATCCCATCCCAACCACTCTGTGCTGTCATTAATCCCGTAAACAAGCTTTTCCCATGAAGTTCTTGTGCTTGCAGCATACCAGTTGCTTCCAACAGGGAAAGAAAATCCTTGCCATCTCTTCGCACAGACCATTTCAGGTGTTTTCTATAGCATGGAATGACCCATTCAGTTCCCTCAGATTCTTGCTCCAATGTTCATGTGTGTGCTTCTTAGCAGAGCTCAGCATCCTTACCTAGCCCCTGGAAGGATGGGAGCCAGGGCAGCAGTGTCCCCCTGCATCCCAACTGCATGGCTCTGATGAGCACTGCCCTTCTTTCCTCACAGCACTCCTCTGAATGCACTCGCTGCACATCTCAAGGGGATACTTCCCATCTAGCTATGAAGGCTCATAGTGAACAAAGAATTTAAGAGGTTATGGTGCCCTGTAATAAAGCACTTAGAAATATCTTTAATGTTACTCAGCTTCAGCACCAGGAAGATGCACTGAGCCCTTTGTGCTTATTTGCCTGCACCAAAACACCCTGCATCTCCCACTGCTCCCACCCTTCCTCCATGGGAAACCAGCAACCACCAAGAAAAGGCAATAACCAACTGTGGAGCAGCCGTAACTCGGGTGGCAAAGGCAGGTGAGAGGCTCCTCAAGCTTTTCTGGCTGGCTTTGTATCTGTATGTTCTCCATTCATTTGCTAAGCACCAGTTTCTGAATCAGGACCTTCAGGGCCCATGGCATCCTGCAGCCCCCACACCAACTCTTACAAAGCCTGCAAGAAGGAGGACCTGGCAGGAGGACCGGGAAATATTGTCACCATCTGAGGTCACTGCACAGCCCATCTTTTACCCAGAGACCTCAAATGAAGAGAAACTGGAGAGTAACACTGGAACAAACTCACATGTTATTCTCAAGCCTGTCGTTACCCTGACTCAGATGGAGACGAGCAAAGAGCTTCTACCCGGGGTAGATTGTAATCGGAGTGATGGAAAAGACCATTAGGTCATCTGGGCCATCTGCCCCCGCCTGTTCTCTGGTTCATGTTATCTAGTGCTTAGCTTGGAGTGAGTCAAGTGATGCAGCTTCCAGTTTCCCACGGGAGACTTTTCCTAATAAAACTAATAGCTGACATGGAAATGTTTCCTGATATTCTGCCTAAATATGCTGTTGCTCACATACATCCCATTACTCCTGCTGATCCTCCCATGGGGCACTCTGAAAGCATGTCTCCTTGGTGTTCATACCCATCACATCCCTGCCGACAGTTAGTGTCATATTTTCCCTGGGTTGCCATCTAGACAAGCTACATTTTACAGTATGGTGGTAATGGCTCTGGACCCAAGGCTGCAAAACTGCCACAGTTATTTAGAGCTTGAAGTCCCAGCAGAACACATGGTGCCACTTAGAGGAATGAATCAGGCACAAGGTGACTGAAAGGTGTAGAGACTTCAGTATTACTAGCAAGGTGAATGATGGAGAGGAAAGGAGATAGAATAGGTGATGTATAGATTGAGGCCTTTAGGAGCAAGAGATGTAGCCATGACCTGGAAGCTTTCTAAAGACTTCAAGTAGATCTGGGCTGGTTCCCCTTCCCTTCTTTAATAAAGGCTTATTAAAGTAAGTGATTTTCAGGGTTGTGCCTGTCAAGCAGTTCTCCAACATCACGTGCTGCAAGGGTGGGGAATCGCCTTGGTTGTGGGATGCATAATGTGCTCCACACTGAACCTACATCCAAGCTGAGCACCCACCGCTCCTCGGGGCTTCCTCCAAGGGCATCACCGAGGAGCACATTGGTGGCAATGAGGGGTATGGAAAGGACAGACCTGTTCCTTGAATGGGTTGCAGGGACACACACAGAGTGTCCAAAACAGCAGGGTTTTAACTCAGAACTGAGACCTGGCTTTCAAAGCACTTCCTACCATTGGCTTTTTGGCCTCTGAGCTCTGCTTGCAGAAACCCTGCCATGCTGACTTGATGCCACCAGCCTGGAGAAGCTGCAGTCCCCAAGGGGAAAAGAGTGTCTTACACAGAGCAGAAGGAGCTGCAGTCCAAGATGGAGCTCCTGCATAGGTCAGATAAACAGAGCTGTGCCTGCCACAGGAAATTAATTCCGATTCAGAAGAAATCATTTCTTCCCTTGGTTGAATGAGATGGGAGATCCTCCTTCTGTTCTTCATTAAGCAACAAAGGGTGAAACCAACAGCAAATTGTGTGCAAACCACCCAACTGCGGCCCTGAACTCCTGAAACATCTTTATTCACTTAATCTGGGATTCAGGAAATTCTCGTCCAAGCCGGTTTTATTGGGTGGTTTGAATTGAGCTCTCAGCCTCCCAATCAGTAACAGAGGAACAATTTTGCATAACATTTTTCTCCTGTATTTTTGGCTCTGCTCCGTCCTTCCTAGTGGCTGAGCTGATGAAGCCGGCCTGTTTCTCATCCCATCGGAGAAGCTCCACTTCTGGGAATGGCCACGGGCTGTCCTGGGTCCTAATCAAGTCCCACCTTTCTCAGTTCATCTCCATTGGTGACTCATCTGCCCATCTCTTCTCTCACCACTTCTCTCTTTACTCCTTCCTCTGGCTGCTTCCAGGGCTGGCATCAAGTAATGAGCCCATAAAGATCAGCCAAAACCAAGGTCCCAGGTGCTGAAGGGCAGGCTGATGAACTGCAGTGCAGCCTGGTTGAGATGTGTGCACCTCTGCTGATAAAACATGAGGTGGGACAGGTCCCCCTCTGGCTGGGGCTGCATGGGAAGAAAGGATGCTCTATGGGCTGACCTGCCCTTCCGAACCTCTCCAGGCAGGTCACTGTGGGCTTGTGTTCACAGTCTGCTCCCGAGCACAGTTTTTGTGACTGGGAGCGAAGCACAGATGGATTTCTGACCATTGGGATACACCAGTGTCCGTGCTGGTCCATCACTCAGCACATGTGAGGTGCACCAGCACTGCACAATGTATGGACACGTGTGACAGAAGCAGTGTGCATGTGTGTGTTCTGTGAGCTTGTGAATGATTGCATGCCCATCTCTATGACCAAGATAGTGCCAGTTCACAGATATTGGGGATGCTGGAATATGGGGAGGAAACAAAAGGAAAGGGGCAAAACGCTGGACAAAGGGGGGATGTAAAATGCCTGGAGAAATTCCAGCCCTGTGGCAAGGGGCTGTTCACATCTGTGCCCCCATGCCCATGCCTGTGTGACTTATTTGTCAGCACCAATCTGCCTCCACCCTTGCTGCTTCGGCTGCCTGGGGCTGCCAGGACTCATAGAATGAGTCAGGAAATGAAATGGGTGCTGTGCACCCACTGTGTGTGAGCTCCCTCACTCTACACCCTGCCCACCCTCTGGCACCAGATTTCCATGGATGATGCTCCTGCCTTGGTGTTTCAGCACTGCCAGCTCCCAGAATAACCTGTTCCCGTGGCTGGGGGAAGCCATACACTTGCTCAGGCGATGTGTTTGCTCAAACGCTTCAGCCCAGGCTTTCATTATTATAATGCCTTCGAGATCTGTGGCTTAGAGGAGGATTTGCTGCCATGTGCCTGACAAAGAGGAGTGACCTCAGCGACACCGGAGAGCGGAGAGCGTGTAAAACCTTCCCGGGCCCTGCGTAGGAGTGCTGCTTCCCTTCTTGGCTGCTTTCGGCTCCATCTGCTCTCTCCACACACGGGTCTCCCTGCGAGTCCCTCCTGGGTGGAGAGAGGACCAGGCAGGAGAGGAATGTTCACACAAACGGGTTGGATGTTATTTGCAGAGCTCCCAGCTCTGCATGCTTGGTATTTTAAGCACAAGAGCGGTTCCCCTCTCTCTGGTGGGTCTGCAGTTTCTCCTCTCCATCCTTCTCCCTCTCCATCCTCCAACCAACGCATCGTCCCATCTGCACAAACTGCTCACCCCAAGGGTGAAGGATGCCCGTGCCCCATCTGTCAGCTCACCCATAGGGACTTGACCCTGACTCTCTACTTCTCAACCCAGGTCTCTCCTGTGCGGACTGGCGGTCACCACCATGTGCTGCAGAGCTGGAGCTGAGTCAAACCGACATGTCAATGATTGCTTTAGACGTTCCTTCACTCACCCCATGAAATATTGGCCATCTTTTCTGCCACATGGAGCAAAGTAAGTTGCAAACCCAATGGGAAAGGCAGGAAAAACAGTCATTAATAACTGTGCTTAATTACAACCTAATTTCTTGAAAAATGTGTTTGAAAGCAGCTGGCAACAAGTTGAACTATGTGGAAAGTTTGAAGAATACCAGACCAGACATTAATTAGTCAACAGCCTCCAGGAAAGGTCAGGCTCTGGAAATATTTAAAGGGCCCATAATAAAATGAATTTTAATTCCAATGCTGAATTAAAACTTCATTGCAAATCCCTGGGAAATAGAATCCTTCCCCACAGGCTGCACTGAATGTGTTTGAGGGAGACTTGCTCTCCACACACCCTAATATTGGGTTTCCCAAGCCATCTTTTCTAGTTACCTTCTTGTGTTGGAAACTCCACACAAACACCTTCCTTTCCATCAAGGGGTAAGCCTGGTTACTGTAAGACCTCTAATACTAACCTCTCCAAATTGGCCTCTGTAATGCAGCATGACCCCTCTAGAAGCCTAGTGCCATCAGTAAAACCTGATCTCATGTCCACACTTGTGCAAGGAGAGAGCCAATCTCTTGGGAGGACCTGCAGAGATGTGGTGGCCCTGAGCAATGTGAACAGGAATGTTTTCTCTAAGTGACCACGCATCTCTTGCTGACCAGCAGCATCACTGTTATGCTGTCCCTTGTTGGTTTAACTGAACTCTCTCTGAAACACAAGCATACAGACAGATATGGCCTATGGTTTGAGTCCCTGCAGTTCTGGCAGAAGCAACACAACAGTCATCATGTGCTGGAGTTACTCACCAGACACAAAAGTCCCAAGAAGGAAATCTGCTGATAAAGAAAAGCATCTACCAGTAAAGGATGACACTCACCCAAGTGGCATTTGACAGAACACCAATACCAGGAGACCTGTTCTGTGTCCCCGAGTCTGCCTAGCTTGTTGGTTCTCCAACCCTGTCCTTACCTTGGCCTTCCTCAAGGACACCCCTTGGCACCCTGCAGGAAAACCTGTGCAGGTTTCCTCTGTGTGAGGAAATGTTATGATAGTTACAGTCAAAAGGGGCACATCTACCAGTCAGTGGGAGAGATCTTTGTGGGAAGAGAACTGGCCCATGCCACCAGCGGTCTAGTCTAGCTATCCCATCACAGACACCATCATGTTCCCATGTAAAGGTGCCACTGCTCAGGCTGCGTGGCATTGCCCCAAAAGCACAAACTCAAGGCTTGCATCGGATGAAGAACATTCCTCGTCCTACAGCATGGAAGCCATATGCTGAGCCATCACACATAAGTGCCCGTTGCTTACCCATTCTGACTGTTATGTGTATTGGGAAGCGGGGCTGGGACAGGCTGGGAGCTCGCTGGTGGATGGGTTTTGGCAGAATGCAGCATCACTGAACATGCGATGTGCAGGTTTTGAGTGAGTGCACACTGGTACCGCTGGGCTCTGCCTGCTTCCCTGCTGGCTCATCAGCCCACCCAGCTCTGAGGCAACCACAAGCCCCAGCCCTCCTGTGCTCCTCAGCCACGTCCAGAGCAGCTGGCAGGAAGCGGTGGCTTCCAGGTTTGCAGGGAGTTGTGAATAGTTTGGTTTCAGATACAGCAAACTGCGTGGACTGCAGGTGTTTCCAGGACAAAACATCTCAGTAGCTTTCCTTCTCTGAAAGGGATCATGAAGGGCAGGACCCTGGGGCAGGATGGTGACTCAGCCTAGGGTCCTGCTGGGGACAGGGTGACAGATGACAAAGGTACCCTATGGTTGCAGCTCTTAGAGGGCTTTTCTTGCTAGGTCAGCTGGCTCGAGGCTTGCTCCTGAGTCCAGAAATCAGAATTGATGGGAAACACTGCAGGCAGCCAGCAAGGAGCTCTGCAAGTCCCAAACAGCCCAGTCTGCAGGAAGGCATCACTGACTCCAGATCATAGCAGGCAGAAAACTGCCTGGGCCCCACCTTCAATGGTGGAAAGCAGATCCCCTCTCTGGGAAAGGAGGTAATCTCTGGGCTATGTCAAGGGACCTTGACATCAGCTAGGACAGTCCCAGCACTGCTCCATCCCGTGGGCTACTACCCATAGAGACAAGCCAGTATGCCATGTCCCCACCTCCTTTACCCAGAGACCAATACAGAGCATCTGTGGGGCTGCCAAGCATCTCCTTCACCTTGACCCTGAAGCCCTCGTTCCCCAGCGAGCAGCGAGTGCTATCAGAACAGAGCTGGGTCAGGAGTAAGTCAAGGGCTTGGGAGATTTCCCTGTGTGCGGTGATTCATGGCTCGTGTTTGTCAGTAGATGGGAGTGTTTGGAGAAGAGCCAGGTCATCATGAAAACATTTACAAATCCCAGATGTTTTGTGGATTTCACCACAAATTATCTGCTGTCCAACCCAGCCAACCCACACGTTCATCGGCATTTTTGAGCTGCAGTGCATTAGTCCTCTGTTTCCAGCAATGGTGTGAAGATGGCAATGGCCAGCAAGAAGGGACATGCCATTAGAGGTGTAGCAGCCAGCCAGGAGGATGGTGAGGAGTTGGAAACCAAATGATTCTTCACCATGGCTGCATCACCTTGCCCAGCAGTTAAAGAAATATGGATGCAAACCTTCTATGGGGTAGAAGAGAGGAAAGACTGTTCCTAGGAACACAAAGGCTCTTACTGAGGGCCATGCCAGCTTTCCACGTGCAGAAGAAACCTACTGAAACCATTCTGGAACCCAAAGCTATTGCCCTGTCTCAGAGCATGAGGAGCTTGGTTGGAAAAGAGAAACCATGCCAGAATTGCACATCACCACCAGCAGCAGACATCAGAGCATGCAGAAGTCTTTGTGTCCCCCTTGGCTGGGCCACAATCCTCACCCCAGCAGTGGGGTATAGGAAAAGGTGAAAAGCTCTTGAAAGCAAACACCATGCCTTATTGACACAACCTTTCCTTATCAGAGCAGGGGACAGGAGTAGACTGGGCTTCCTTCAGAAGACCTGTGTGTGCCTGTGGAGATGTGTAGTAGACACATAAAGCCTGAGTGAGAGGTCAAAGCTCAGGAAGAGGTGTCAAAAAGGGGCAAAAGAGTATCAGGCATTTGTGGCACCAAGGTCATTCAGATTACAGCACATCTGTGAGTAGCTTTTCAAGAGAGACTTGCTGCTGGCCTCCTTTCTCCTGTGTTGTGGCAAGGACTCACTAAGTAGAGCTGTGTCTCGGAGCGTGAACACTGGACGTTTGTCCTAGTGCTGTTTGTGGGCATGTGGGTGAAAACAGTTTTGTTTGTGTGGAATAAAACCACCTTTTCCTTCTAAACCCTCTCTCACAGATATGGGGAAATACATGGGGAGATCTGATTGCAAGTAATGGAAAAGTTTCAGCCTGCGATTCCAAAAGGGGTGCAGAAACCCATCCTTTTTCATGGCATATCGGGCCGATCCCCCAGAGAATCTAGATACCCTGGTTAACCTGATGGTTGGGGATGTAACTGATGTTCTTCTTCCCATCATTTACAGTGCAGGCTGCCCCCTTCATCACAAAGTGGAAAGGAAATTTGGTGAGATTTCCTTCAGGGCCTCTCCACTTACAGTGACTCCCTGGGCAGGACACAGCTCAGTTTTCCTGCTTGTTGAGCATAGGAAACACAGATCCATGAAGGTGCTTGGAAGCTGTTCCTACCTCTTTGGCAAAATGAGGGCCTGGGGAGGTTTCTTCTTATTCACCAGGTAATGAAGGCAAGAAGTTGGACCCCTGAGGAGGACTGATCCTGGAAAGGTTCCTTTGGAAAGGAGCACTCTCTTCCAGGGTGATGCTGGGATGCTCCTAGTGTTCAGGGAACACTTGTCTCCACCATCAGCAGGGCTCTCCACTTGGTTCATTATTCCTGATTCAGATTTTCCCTCCTGCAATAGCCAGTATAGCAGCAGCTATGGCTAACACTGCCAAGACTTTCTGTCATGCACCCTTGTGGAGTGGCTCTTGGCTGCCTCCAGTCTTGGAGCCAAAGTGATATTTGTGATATCTTAGTTTCTGTCAGCTCCTGCACCCCACCAGTGTGGGTAGGCAGTGAAACATGGCAGGGAGAAATCACCTGCCCCCCGTCCATGAGATCACATCATGACCAGGCAAGATGGTCCCCGAGCTCCTGAAGCCAGACAGACCACACATGGTGGGAGGTACAAAGCCTGGTCCTTTATGGACTTACAGAGGTTGGTGTTAGCTTGCTTTGGCCGTCCCTCCTCTCCAGACACCCGTCCTTCCCCTCACCCTCCATGGCCATGCCAGGTTTGACACCTATGGAGGTGTTCCTCTTCCCGCTGTGAAGGCGGTCACACTGCATTGATGCCAACCAGTCTGAGGAATGACCACACAAACCAGTGGCCGAGGTATCCCCATGTGTTAAAACAACCAGGACCAGACCCAGAGCCAAGACCTCCAGACTGCAGCCAGGCTGTCCCTTGCCTGTTCTCTGCCAGGACCATTGGAAGATCAGGTTGACTCCTGCTAACAAGGCTATGCAAATCACAAGAAAAGTAGTAAATCCCCTAATTCAACCTCCTAGGTATCTCAAGCCTTTGATCTTTACCTTGATTTTTCTGTGTTAGGGCTAATAATTTGGCTAAAGCATCTCTTCAAGATAGCAATGTCACTTGATTGCACCAGCACTGCTTCATTAAAGAAAACCTTTCCGCCCTGTTCAGTCAGGATTTTGCAGTGCTGGCAGCAGGTCCATTAATAATGTACTCGTTTTCTGATGTATTTTTTAACATGGAATAATTTTCTGGGACTTTCACAACTGTTTTGAGAACTGGCTTCCCTCGGGGCAGTGTGGGAAGCTGCAGGAGGAAGCAAGTTCCAAAAGTGGCAGGAGGAGATGGGGCAACCTCATGGAGCCCATTCAAGACAGGGGACTGCCAGGTCATGGGGGATAGGGTGAGGTACAAGGTAGCCTGGTCCCTCACGGAAGGGACAGCATGTCTGGAAAGAGAAACTGCAATGGTGACGTTCCATCAGCACAAGTCTCAGGATGTCCTTTCCCAGATGGAGGACCCAGACTGGATGTTTCTCTGGAGACCACCATATCTCAAGCAGAGTAATCATAGTAAAACTAGGCAGGAAGCATTGGCCAAGGGATAAAATCTCCTGATCCAGGCTTTAAACTGGCTCTTTGGGGTTAGCAGGAAAGCAGCTTGCTTGCACTGGTGATGGGTTTTCTTTAGCCTTCCTCCAGCTGACCGCACTGGGGGGTCCAACAGAGCATCTCTGCCTCTCACCACCCCAGCACCAGCATGAGCCCAGCCTCCGCCTCCCCAGTGAGTGAACTCAAAGCAACTTAAAGCCCTGTTATTCCTTTTCTCCCATTCTGAGTCCTTCTAAATATCCCTTCTCTCTGCTCCAGCTCCACAGGCTTCAGGGATTTGGCTCTGGCAAATAATCTCAGGCAAGCAGGAGCTGACTGTTACATGACCCTTCTTGTAATATGCTGGAAATCTCGGCCGTAGGATAAACAGACCAATGTTAACCTTTATATAGTAAATAAAACTGCAGTGAATGTGGCCACTTTACATGTCTAAAAGCTTCATTTTTACTTCTAATATTAACACATTTTTAAAGAAATCTTTCTTTTTGGCAAAAGCCAAAAAAAATATTTGTTTCCTGTTTCAGTGAAGAGCCGGCATGGCAGAGCAACTCCATCTGATACTTACTCCCTGCTCCATACAGCTGATCCCCCTTTATCCCTGTTTACTGCAGGGATACTATTAAATACCTTCAACCACTCCTGCTTGCAGATTTCCAGAGAGCCCATATCCTGTTTGTAGCATCCCTGCTCCTGTGGCATGCAGAGGGGAGCTCCAAGCAGAAGAAAGAGAAGGAAAGGGAATCAGGGGGGGAGATGCTTCAATGTGAAAGGAAAGGAGGGAGGTGGAGAGATGTCTGCTGCCACCCCCCCACACACATCCCACTGAGTGCTTGGGATGCTTCCAAGCATCTCCTGCAATGGTCCTGACAGCATCCTCTCCCCAGTAGAAGTGCCTGCTGATCGCATGGGAATGCCAGGATCAGGCCTAGTGACCTCCAGAGCAACTGCACTGTTGTTGGGGGCTGCATTAGTGGAGGGACCTGCCCTATGCTGTGACCGCTGCAAGGCTTTCTATACACAAGGCCATTTCTGCACCATCATAGAGCCATGGAACACCACTACCCAGCAGCTTTCTCCTGCAGCCTCCATGAAGCCACTGATGCAACCACTGCTTGAGAGCTTGGAGCCCAGGGACTTCAGTGCATTCAGCAGAAGAGGCTTTGGAGCCTGATTTATTCTGCTCTTCCCAGCTGTTATGTACAGATGGAGCAAGGCTTTTCCACTCCTTTCTGAAAGGACTGCATGCAGCACTGCTGTTGGAGGTAGACGTGGCCATGTGTGACCTGTGCTGGGTTCCTGCTTAGACAAACATGCAAGAATTGCACAGATCTGGGCACGGTATCCAATGATATCCACAAGCATCTTCAGCCTTTTATCCCTTCATTAGATCCCCACAGGGATTTCTTGCTTCCCTTTCAAAGTGCTCCGATGTTGTTTTGGAAGCATGGGCAATAACCAAGAATGGATCTGGGGTTTTTAAAGCCACGTTTGCTTTCTGCAGGAGAGTTTATGAGAGCAATAAAAAGCAGAATGATGATGAGGGGAGACAGGAAAGGGTTTGCACATCTTGCTGAGCGCAATCTTGGTTTTGGTTTTTTGGCCAATCTGCCTGAACCGTGACATTTCACTTCACATCTGACTTGCATTCAGGAGGAATGCAAACGCATCCAGTATCTCCTTGGTCTCCTGTAATGGGCTGATCCTCTCTGGGCAGCGCCTGGGGACTTGTGGGACACCAGACCTGGTGATGATTTGCCCTTGGTGTGACCACAGGGCCTGAATCAAAGCTGGTTGAAGGCAACACACACCCTGAGTTCCAAAGGACCAGATCCAAGAAGGGGGTTTGCTGCAATGCTCTGCACTGCACAGCCTCAATTTTAGGTGTCTGGATCGAGAGATAGGTTTACAAGTCTGGATTCCCTTTGGGATGGACAGGGAAGCTGGGGATGGGGGCCTGGATGCAGGCTGGAGGTGCTGGCTCGCCACTGCAGGATGAGAGACCTGAGATCTGGTCCTCTCGTCCTGGATGGCTCATGTACATCGCATCTGACAGTCCCAGGATGAAAACTAGGGTCTCTGAGCTGAGTAATTTATGTCCTGCAGGGTCTGTGTCACACACACTGCAGCCACATTCAGGCACTGGAAGGGGAGGGAGCCTTTGTGGACCACTTCCAACTTTGGCTCTCCAGGGGAACAGGAAGAGCAAAGATAACATGAAGACTGACAGACTCACCAGTGCTTCCCCAGTGAATACTTCCCTAATGAGTTGCCCTCCATCCATCACAAACCCTGTTTCAGTTCTGAGATTACCCCGCACCTCCCAGCCAAGCCTGTGCATCACCATACCCCGTCCAGCCCAACAGTGACCATGCACTCCATCCCAGCCCCAGGCTCGTGTGCAGGGACACTGGTCACCCATGGTCACCCAGCTCAGAGACAGGAGCACTGATCCTAAAACCTCTGCAGTCCGAGCCTCGCCATCCCGTTGAGCTGAGGAATGCTTGGAGACCTGGGAAAGCCATTCCATCCCAAAGCTTGGCAGACCTGGAGCCAGGAGCCCGGCTGGCAGCCACCTGCCCCGGGCTGTGTTCTCTGCTACCCCTCTGCAGACAAGCAGGTTTTGTTCGGGGTGTGTGCAGGATGTGGCTCGGTGACCCCTCTCCGCAAGAGGCAGCTCGCTGTGCCCACCGCTTCCTACAGCAGCCGGGTGCGGGAGGCAGAAAGCCCTCTTTGTGCTGGGGAAGGTGTCAGGTACTCGGCACACAGGCAGCTGAATTGGGGCTTTTCATCGGGCCAGAGGCTTGCCGGTTGAGGAATGCTGGCTCCCGGCTGGAGCTGGCAGGGAGCTCCCTACACCGGGCTCAGCGGTCCACGATGGAGCGCGCCTGCCGCATCCAGGGGCTATTTGGGGGCTGAGGGCAGCAGGAGCTGTGTTGGCTCTGTGGGGATACGGGGATGAAGCTGCTGTTTATAAATGCAGAGAGCTCTCAAGGGGGAGAAGGGGGTGCTGGTCGATGAGAAAATGAACATGAGCCAGCTTCAGTGTGCGCTTGCAGCCCAGAAACCAACCGTATCCTGGGCTGCATCAAAAGGAGCGTGAGCAGCAGGTTCAA